TCACTACTGATTAGCCACCAGTGTCTGGAACTGTCTCCATGAATCCTTGTAACCTTTATTTACATGGTTTGATGATGTCATTATTACCCTGGTTTACAGAAGAGAGAAACTGAGGCTCAGAGAGCGAGCACACCAAGTATAGACAGGGAACTCAAGGCACAGTCCTCTGAGGCTACAGCTGGTTCCTAAAACCAGTGGAAGCTAAGAACATTCACTCTCTGAGCTAGGGATTGCAGATTCTTTTCCAGTGTTTTGCTTGTGTCTAAATTTCATTTTCAGTGTATTTTGTTATGCAGAAGGCAAAAAATTCTATCCAACCAAAGCTCTCTATCCTACCTTGGAAGACTTCCCCCTACCAAGAACACAAACATAAGACTCATATTTTCTTTTAATATGTTCATGGTTTTCTTTTCTAACGTCGACATCTTTAGTCTGCCTGGAGTTGATTTGGATGAAGGTGTGGGGTGGGATCAAACACAAGTTTTGCCCTGGACCCCATGATGGGCGATGCCTCCTCTTCTCTGAACACTGGGCTAATTGTTACACGGAGTTGTCACATGCCCTCCTCCCAGATCTTTGGGCTGCAGAGTTAGTCATCGGCGCTGGAAGCCTGCCCCCGCCACGCTGTGGTGACCCCGTCCCAGCGAGGCTCCCCCAGCTGGGCGGCCGTCTGCCCTGCGGTGAGGGGAAGGAATTCAGCGAGAGCTCTGCTCACTCAGCAGCCAGCCTCGAGGAGCATGAGCTGCGGAAAATCACATGTGTTTTTCGAGTTGTTGGAAACCAAGGAAATTGCTCTGCCGGTAGTGAGGTTGGCTAGACACTGTCTGGAAGACCCTCGGTCCCCACAGCTTGAGGAACCGTGCCTCCACATGGGCTCAGGGTGACCCACTGCTTGGGCCACTAAGCAACCAGGTGACCCACTGGTGACACTGGGCACCTGGGCTATAGCGAAGGGGGGATGTTGACAGTGGTCTCCCAGAGAGAGGACAAGGTCTGGTCTCTTCTCCTTTGGTTCCAGGTCAAACATAGACTCAGGAGGAGCAGTGCCTCGGATCCCAGGCTTCTGCTGGCCAAAGCTTGGCTTCCTGGACTTTCTGTCCAACTCCAAGATAGCCCCAAAACACATGCCCTGGTGCTGGACAGCAGAGTGGGGAGCGAGCTCATACAAGACAGGCGCTGGGCCACTGGCACACAAGGCTTCACGCTCACCTTCTGGGTCTCAGCTGCTGCCACAGGGGCTGGTGAGAGCTCAGGAGCCGGGGTGGGTTGGAAGGGAACGCTCCTGGCTCCAAGCCCTGGCAGCTGCTGTCCCCGTATTCTGCAGCCCCCTGACTAGCACTCTGGCCCGCTGGGGCCTGCTGGCGGGAGCGTCTGTCTCTGGCTGGGCTGGGCCTCAGAGGGAGGGAGGGAGGCTGGCCGAGCTCAGGACGTGCTGTGGCAGCCCTGTTGCTTAATGGCCAGAGCAGGGGAGCCCATGTGGAAGTAGGTTCAGTTCAGACCCAAAGTCTTAGCTTGCAGCTCCTGTCACTTACATGCTGTGACCCCCAAGAAGTCACTTCTCCCTGAGCCTCCGTTTCCGCCCTCAGAAAACTGGGGAAACACACACTTAGCAAGCACCAGTTCAGGGTGCTTCCTACCGCTCAGGTGCCCCAAGCGTTCATGGGTGGACTCGCCTGGCTGGGCCTCCCCCTTTCGCTTCCTTCCACAAGGTGTCCCGGGCCCTTGCCTGTGCCCTGCTGTCCAGGGTTCTAGGTGCCTCCTGTGCCCCTACCCCACTCCTGCCTCAGCCTTTCAAGGGAAGTTTCCTCCTCTGTGATGGCTGGGCCTCTGGGTCCTGCCCTGGTGACACCTTAGTGAAATCTCTGTAGATGCTGCTGAGTGGACCAAAGTCACACACAGCCCTTTCCAGGTGAGTGCAAGTGGCTGTGGAATGCCGAGGTAACTAGGCTTTGCCAAGGGGTGTCAGGCTGGGTCTGGTGGTCAAGGCGTGATGTTCTGCGCTGTCACAGCGCATCTCTGTGGCTGTGTGGTCAGATGGATTTCTGAGACCTTTAGACCCACGCAGTTCCCTGAGAGAGCTGAAGCCCCATGTGGGCTCAGAAAAGTATCTTCTGCCAGGAAGATAGCTCAGTGGCACAGCGCCTGCCTGGCAAGCACAAGGCCCTGAGTTCGATTCCTGGTAACAAAAAAAAAAAAAAAAAAAAAAAGAAAAGAAAAGAAAAGAAAAGAAAAGCATCTTCCAAGAGAGGCCATGCAGGACTTGGGGCTTTCCCGAGACCACGTTCCCTGGCCATGGAGAGTGAGCTGGGACAGGAGGACGCTGTGGGGTCACCATGTGGATTTGGCAGAACTCTGAGGTCCAGAGGAGAGGAGATGGGCGAGGTTACCAGTGAGTAGGAGCAAGAGTCTCTCACATCGTGAGGCCGGCAATGCCTCAAGGTCTGAACTGTGATCTCCACAAAGACAGACGCTAACTGGAACCTTGCTTGTAGGTCGGGTGGGTTCAAACAAGCAGGCCCTGCCTACTGGTGGCCATCAGGCCGCTCCTGCTCTTACCACCCAAAGGAGCAGAGACCTCATTCAAGGTCACAGCCTGACGCCTGGCTGCAGAACCATCGCAGAAAGGAAGGCTGCCTTGCTGGCCCCTTTGCTGAGTAAAACATCTGACGGCAGTAAGTGGCCATGCTATCTGGAGTGAAGCTTCGCTTTCTCATCCTTCACAGATCTCCTTCCTGAGGCCTGGTCCCAGGTTGGCCTCTTGAGGGAGGAGGATGTGGGGGAGGAGATCCTTTCTTCCAGGGAGAGAGGCATCAGGGCAAGAGACAAAGAGGTCTTGGTGCCCCATGTGACAGGGGTGTCTAGGCACGTGTCCTCCCTCTCGGCCTGCTGGGGTGTGCTCTGGCCTCCCCACGGCAGGGTTCTTCCTCCACCCTCAGGTGTGCACTGGCCCACTCCAATTCTCTCCCCGTCCTTCCCGTTAGCTTTAGGCCACCATCCTCTGATGCCTCTGCTCCCCAAGAATTCTCCCTGCACCCTGCAGCAGCAAGGGAGAGGGTCCTTCCCTTGGGCAGACCCTGCCACGTGCACCAGGGAGGCTGGAGGAGGAAGCTGCGGTAGGGGCCACTGGCATGTTCAGCAGATCCCCAGGGCAGCTGAGACAGCACCTGGATGTGGACACAGACATCCTGCCAAACGGCCGGGGCCGGGACCCTGAATCCCAACGGCTCCTGGCCACAGAGGCCACAAGCCTCCCATTCCTGACCAGCCTTGGCTCTGCCGCTGGTGCTGTGCCTCTTGGTTGTGGTTGCTCCAAGTTCAGTAGTCTTAGGCCTGGAAAGAAAGGGCTCCTGGGTACAGCTTCAGGCTAAGCAGGGTCCCAGCCCCGTGGAGGTGGAGACCAGCCCTCGGCCCTCCTAGGCCCAGGTCCCCACCGGGGGCTCTGTTCAAGTTCCTCTTGGTGACTCACTGCCGCTCGGGACCGCAAGTTCTTTTTTGTTCTCCAAAAGGCTTCTGTTTTTCCTGGCAGAAGATTCAGGACCCAAATCCAATCCGTGTGTGAGCCCTTCCCAGGGAAGTGACGTCCCACAGACCCCCACCCGGCGTCGCCTCCAGCATGACACACTCGACCCGGGACAGCAGGGCGAATTCCCAGAACCAGCTCTGAGCCCGATGATTCAGCATTTGCAGGGGTCGGTGTTCGTGGCAGCTTCCTTCACCCTCACTGCTTTTGCCAGGACCAGGCTGGGCCAGTGGACAGGCAGGCAGAGCCCTGGCCGTGGGGGCTGCTCTGAGCCGGGGACAGTAGGGGACCGTCCCCTCCACTCCTGGTCGCCAAGGGAAACGATGAGAGCCCAGGGCCCATGGGGTGTGAGAGGGAACACACATCCTGATTCCACTTGATCAGCACACGGTAGTCACACTGAGGTCATTCGCTGAGATCCGCCCCAGGGGCCAGGTGAGGGCACAGTGCTGGGCAGGCCTTGGAGGGTCCTTCCACCTGGGGTACAGTGGTGGTCAAGCCCAGCAGCCTCCCCTCTGAGGAGGGCCCAGGTCCGATTGGGCCAGGTGCTTCCTCACCACCTTCTCCTTCACACCACCCGGGTGATCACCGGAGAGCTCTGGGGCTTCCGGCCTGCTCAGACAACCTTAGGATAGGGCTGCTGACCTTGACCCGTAGCTGCAAGTTTCTTTCTCCTGCTTCCTCCTTCCTTCATGGAATGCTCTGGAAGCTCTGGCTTTAGCTGTGAGGGCCGCCAGGCGCTGGCAGACAGTTGGTCTCCTGGAAATTCAGGGCAGGCACCAGGTGTGGTGTGAATCTTCCCTGTCCAGTTTCCACACAGACACCATGACGGACCCTTCTGTGTGACTCCTGAGTCCATGTGACAGCTGGAGCTACTCTTGAAAACAAATTTTTAAGAAATGAGTCCTAGGTCTTGGGTGTAGCTCAGTGGTAGAGGACTTGCCTGGCATGGGCAAGGCCTGAAGCCAGATGCCCAACAGTGCAAGAAAAAAAAGAAGTGGGTGGTGGTGGTGGTATTTTGGTAAGAGGAAGGAGGGAAATAGGTATTTGTCCAGTGGGGACCTGGGGGTGATGGCAGGCACTTGTTCGTGGTGCCTCCCCAGCGGCAGCTCTGCAGCTTGGCACCTATGCACTCCCCTCAGCGCTGTCCTTCCTGCGAACAGGGCATGGCCCCCAGGGACCTGGACTGGAGCAGCAGGTGGCAGCTGGCAGAGCCCACCGGCCAGGGCTGCAGAGGCTGGGGAGGACGGGGTGGCCAGCACGCTCGCGGCGCCGAGAGCCTAGATCCCACGCCGGGTGCCCTCCCAGGCGCTCTGCGCCCCAGGTCGCTCCCGCCCCGACCCTGGGTCCCGGGTACACAGGCAGCTCTCAGTTCGCGCTCCGCTCCGGGACGCGCAGGAGGCCGCGCCGGGACCGCCCCGTCCCCCCCACAGCCCCTCCGTGCGCGCCGGGCTCCTCCTTCTCCTCCTCCTCCCTCGGGTGGGGAGGCTGCTCCGGAAGCCCCGGCGCCCCCGCCCCGGCCGCTGGCCCTGGAGAGGGCGGACCGCGCCACGCGGGGCAGGAGCACACGGCCGCCGCCTCGGGGCCCCAGCCTCTCCGCGGACCCCGAGCCTCTCCCGGGTCCCGAACCCCTCCCGGGACCCCAAGTCTGTCCCTCGACCCCGCGGCCATGGCGCGCGTGCGCGCGGCGCCCCTGCTCGGCGGCCTCCTGGTGCTCCTGGCGCTGTGCCCCGGGGGGCGCCCGCAGACCGTGCTCACCGACGACGAGATCGAGGAGTTCCTCGAGGGCTTCCTGTCGGAGCTGCAGCCTGAGCGCCAGGATTACGACGTGGAGGCCCCAGCGCCCCCCCAGCGTGCGCACCCTGCCCAGGAGGGGGGCCAGGCGGGGGCGGCCGAGGGAGGTGAGCTGGGGGGTGGGACCCGGGCTGGCGGGGTGAGACACCGCGGGGGCGCCTCGAAGTGAGACTTGGGTGGGGCCAGGAAACAGGCTCCGGGGCTGGGGGCGTGAAGGGGGACGCAGAAGGTGATAACCCCGGGCAGGGCTGACACCTGGGGAAGCGTGCGTGGGGGTGGGGGGCTCACCTCTCCCCTCCTCCTCCTCCCTCCCGGGCTGCCCCCTGGGAGGAGCTGTGGGACACTGGCCAGGAGGGCACACTGAGTGCCCAGCCACTGGCCCGCTGGATGCCGTTGTCTGGTTGTTCTTCCCTAGGCTTTCAGGGGGCTGGGCTTGGGCCATGGGGATGGTGCTGTGGCAGGCCCATCTACCCCTGGTGCACACAGGCCCTGGCAGGGGCCGCAGGAGACCTCTGCCCCAGCTTCCAGGAGAGTTGGATGAGGTGATACATGGCCGAGGCATGTAACCCGGGCTCTTACGTAATCTGTGTCAATAAATCTTCGCTGTTTACTGTGGCCCTCTGGAGGGTGGCAGAGGATCTTATGATCTCTGTCCCATGAGGCTGAAGCAGCCTGCACCATTCCTTAAGTCACAGCTCCCTCTCCCACCACCTCAGCTACAGCTCCTTAGCAGCTGCCCCCACACCTCAGCCCTGCAGCCTTCCTGCAGCTGCCTGGCTCTGCCGTCCAGGGCTCCAGGTGCTGCCGGGGCAGCCATCCCTGTCCTGTTGTGTTTTGTAACTTCTCTGTTGGGCTAAACTGCCCTGAGCCTCCTCTCCACTCTTCAATTCCCAGCAGCATCTGCAACTCCTGCTTAGGGTGCAGGGCGGGCCGCACAAGGCAACCCACCAGGGCCCCAGCTCCCGACTCCTGAGATGCACCAGCAGCCACGTGCTTCCTGCCTGTCCCTCTGCCCTCCGTGCGGCCCACAGGTCTCCCAGGACCCACTGCGGGTCCTGGCTTTCAGCCACCTCATGCCCTTTATTTCTTGCTCCTTGTTGGGCTTCGAGAGTCTTCAGTGTCCCTTTCCTTGATGCTTTTCTTGTTCCTGCATGGAGGCTCAGGGAGGGCCTAGGCGGGCCCGTGTCCTCTGCCTCGTATGACAGTGCTGTGCAGGGACCACCATTGCTCCATCAGGCCTGGCTAGCTCAGTCCCTCTGCACCTCCCCTGCCCAGCACAGCACAGCGTGCCCTGTGACTGGCAAGTGACACTGGGTGAAGGAGTGGGCCCCAAGGGGCCTCTGTTGAGGTTTCAGCCCTGAAAATGAGTGTCAAGTGCTTAGTCTTTAGGCCGAGATGTCAGGTTGGTGGCCCTGGACTCGCACATAGAAAGCCCGGGTTCAAACCCCAGCTCAGGTACTCGGGCAAGCACTTGGGCTCCGTTCCTTTGATGTAAATCTTTATCTTGGGCAGCACTGCTGGAGAAGGCCAAAGACAAAGGGAAGAAAGGAAAAAAGGACAAGGGCCCCAAGGCAACAAAGCCGCCCCCTTCAGGGGAGACCCCCAGGCCACCTAAGAAGGGGAAAGAAAAGCCACCCAAGGCCACCAAGAAGCCCAAGGAGAAGCCACCCAAGGCCACCAAGAAGCCCAAGGAGAAGCCACCCAAGGCCACCAAGAAGCCCAAGGAGAAGCCACCCAAGGCCACCAAGAAGCCCAAGGAGAAGCCACCCAAGGCCACCAAGAAGCCCAAGGAGAAGACACCCAAGGCCACCAAGAAGCCCAAGGAGAAGCCACCCAAGGCCACCAAGAGGCCCCCAGCAGGGAAGAAGTTCTCCACTCCAGCTCCCTTAGAAGCTGAGGAGTGGCCGCTGCCCCCACCCCACAACCCTGGCCCTGAGGAGCCAGTCCAGGAGGGAGGTTTGTGCCAGGCTCCTGGGCACTCGTAGGCTCTGGCTTCCCCTGGAGGCAGGGTGGGGTGAGGGAGGCTTCCAAGACCCTGCTTCCCACATATAGGGTTCGCTCTCGGGTGTCACTGTGTGCACTGACTTGGCAGTTGACTTCTCTGGGGCAGGGACAGGCCTTGGCAGCTTGTGGGGAGCCCCTGCCCTGGTATCTGAGCTGCATGGTGCCTCCCTGCTTCCCCCTTGGCATCCAGCTCTCTGACCCAGGGCTGCAGCAGGGTGTCCAGACCTCCTTGGGGTGCGCTGTGGCCCTAGGTTATTAAGGTGGTCAGGACAGGCCCCTGTTCACCTGCTTCTGGGGTTCTGTGTTGCAGAGGATGCCTTCCCAAATGCCTGGCAGGGTCCGGAAGAGGAGACCCAGGGGGCAGCCCGGAAGCACCAGCCTGGTGAGTGGCTGGCCGTCATACTGCTGGCCTCTGGTGACCAGCTACCCTGGTTTGCTGGACTGAGGGGTTTCCTGGAGGGGGCCCAGGTAGGGTTGTCAGGTGGCCCACTGGCGTCTTCCCCTCAGAACCGGAGGAGGAGACCGAGATGCCCACACTGGACTACAATGACCAGATAGAGAGGGAGGACTACGAGGACTGTGAGTAGGTCTGCCCCGTGTGGAGGAGAGCCTGGCCCAGGCACTGCCCACCCTGCCCAAGGGCCCTCCTAGCCGGGCCACTCAGAGCCCACCTCCCCTCAGTCGAGTACATCCGGCGCCAGAAGCAGCCCAGGCCAGCGCCCAGCAGGAGGAGGTTCTGGCCAGAGCGTCCTGAGGAGAAGGCTGAGGAGCCGGAGGAGAGGCGGGAGGAGAGGCCGGAAGAGAGGCCGGAGGAGAGGCCGGAGGAGAGGAAGGAAGAGATCGGTAGGGCTGGGGCAGGGGAAAGGGGTGCTGCGAATGGACTCTGGCCCACACCCACCTTCTCACCTCCACAGAGCCACCTCCGAAGCCACTGCTGCCTGACTATGGGGATGGCTTCGTGATCCCCAACTACGATGACAGTGAGTATCCAGCACCCCAGGGTTTGAGGGATACAGTGGGCCTCTGAGCAGGGGTGTGGTCAGGACACAGGGCTGTCCCTGCCTAGGTTCCTGGCCCCTGACTTTGCCAGACATGTGCCTCAGCTTCAGCGTTGGCCCTGTCAGTGCACAAAGGCCCAGTCCTTCCCTGTGGGCTCCTGTGGTCCCTGCAGCCAGGGCTAGCCGGGGACGGGGCCTCAGCTGGGCTATTCCTCCGCAGTGGACTACTACTTCCCGCTGCCTCCACCGCCGAAGCCCGATGCCGGGCAGGAGACGGATGAAGAGAAGGAGGAGCTGAGTGAGTGGGACCAGGCTTTGCCCCCACCAGGCCATCACCTGAGGCCAGCTCTGCCCGCCAGACCAAGCCCTACCTGTGCCCACCTCAGCCCCACCGCCTAGTGACCCCAGCTCCACCCACTGCACCCCGAGCTCTAGGCCAGGCTGATGGCCTCTCCTGCCTCATCCCCTCCAGAGAAACCCAAGAAGGAGGGTGGCAAGGAGGACACTGAGGACAGATGGGCTGTGGAGAAGGGCAAGGACCATAAAGGTGGGTGCTGCCCCTGGGGCCGTCTGCATTCCTGCTGCCAGACCTGTGGCCCACCGGCCCCCTTCTCGGTCCGCAGGCTCCCCGAAGGGCGAGGACGTGGAGGAGGAGTGGGCTCCAGTGGAGAAGATCAGTGAGTGGGCTGGGGCAGGCGTGGGGCCTAGCGGGGCAGCCAGGGAAGTGTAGGGCGGTGGCCGCTGCCTGAGACCCGCTTGCTTTGGGGGCCAGGGAAGCAGGTCTGAGGTCTCAGCCACTGGCTGACAGCCGCCTTCTGAAGGGCACCCTGATGGGGTCGGTGGGCTTCGGGGCCCTTGGCTTGGGGTTGGTTGATGCAGGGAGGGCCAAGCCTGCCAACAGCCGGCCGGATATGTGTCCCCAGAGTGCCCACCCATCGGGATGGAGTCACATCGCATCGAGGACAACCAGATCCGAGCCTCCTCCATGCTGCGCCACGGGCTGGGGGCCCAGCGCGGCCGGCTCAACATGCAGGTGGGTGCGTAGCCAGCGTGTCCCAGGAGTGAGGGCCCCCGGTGCTGTGCTCAGCCTCCCTGCCACCCCGACAGGCTGGCGCCAATGAGGACGACTACTACGACGGTGCATGGTGTGCCGAGGACGACCCACACACGCAGTGGATCGAGGTGGACACCAGAAGGACCACTCGGTTCACGGGCGTCATCACCCAGGGCCGGGACTCCACCATCCAGTAGGTGGCTGAGCTCCTGGGCAGCTGACAGTGGCTCTGGGTCCCACCTGGGACACCCAGGAAGGCCAGAAGGACCCATGAGGGCTGACCCTACTCCCAGCCCCGCCCCTGAGCCTGTTAGTCAGCTCCACATTCAGAGGGGCACACAAGGTCGGGACAAGCCGCCGCCCACAGCCACAGGCAGCGCAGAGCCACACCCCACAGAGGGCAGGGGCAGCGGGCTGCTGGGGGCCTGGGTGGGAGAGCAGCCCTGCCCTGACCGTGTTTGCTCCACAGTGATGACTTCGTGACCACCTTCTTTGTGGGCTTCAGCAATGACAGCCAGACGTGGGTGATGTACACCAACGGCTACGAGGAAATGGTGCGTGCTTGGCCGCTGCTCTGTGCTGGTTACCTGGTCCTGTGGGGCTCCTGGGGTGTGAGGTGTCGCACTGAGGCCTGTCCCCACCCCCCCAGACCTTCCACGGGAATGTGGACAAGGACACGCCGGTGCTGAGCGAGTTCCCAGAGCCCGTGGTGGCTCGCTTCATCCGCATCTACCCGCTCACTTGGAACGGCAGCCTGTGCATGCGCCTGGAAGTGCTGGGCTGCCCCGTGAGCTGTGAGTGCTGAGGGCTGCGGGGCGGATGGGAAGACCAGGCTGCTGTGGGTGGCTGGCTCAGGGCCCTGCCTGCCCGCCCTCTGCAGCCATCTACAGCTATTACACACAGAACGAGGTGGTGGCCACTGATGACCTGGACTTCCGGCACCACAGCTATAAGGACATGCGCCAGGTTAGGGCTTGTGTTCTGGCTGGGATGAGCCCCATACAGTGTGACTGGGGAGCTTTTCCGGGTTCATCCCTGTTCTGGGGCACAGCCCCCACTCAGGGGAAGGAGACTAGGACCTGGGGCCCACCTAGGAGGTCGTGGGGTCAGCTGCATGCCCCACCCCGCAGACTGGGGCGGTGGGAGAGGCATGGTCAGTAATGCAGTGCCCGTCCCTGCCAGCTGATGAAGTTGGTGAATGAGGAGTGTCCCACCATCACCCGCACGTACAGCCTGGGCAAGAGCTCTCGAGGGCTCAAGATCTACGCCATGGAGATCTCGGACAACCCCGGGGAGCATGAGCTGGGTGAGGCTCCACTTCCCTCGTGCGGTGGTTAGCGCCCTTGCCGCTCGGCCACAGGGACGGCAGAGCTCACTGCCTGCCCCTCTGGGAGCCCGGGGCTGGCTGTGGACACTAAGCCTGAGCTGGCCCTTTCCCTCGGGTATGGGGTGGGTCCCCATCTTTCCTCTGATGCCCTGAGCCTCAACAGGCTGAGTGCTTATGGCGGCTCCTGCCCCCGTAGGGGAGCCTGAGTTCCGCTACACAGCGGGGATCCATGGCAACGAGGTGCTGGGCCGCGAGCTCCTGCTGCTGCTCATGCAGTACCTGTGCCGTGAGTACAGAGGCGGGAACCCGCGTGCGCGCAGCCTGGTGCAGGACACGCGCATCCACCTGGTGCCCTCGCTGAACCCCGATGGCTATGAGGTGGCAGCACAGATGGTAGGTGTGCAGGGCCCGGCGGTGGCAGGGGAGGTGGGAGTGGGAGCTAGTGGCTGAGGCCAATGCTGCAACTGCCCACAGGGCTCCGAGTTCGGGAACTGGGCACTGGGGCTGTGGACCGAGGAAGGCTTTGACATCTTTGAGGACTTTCCGGATCTCAACTCTGTGCTCTGGGGAGCTGAGGAGAGGAAATGGGTCCCCTACCAGGTCCCCAACAATAATCTGCCCATCCCAGAACGCTACTTGTCCCCAGATGCCACGGTGAGGAGCCAGCCCTGGCGTCCCTGGCTGAGCCGCAGCCATCGAGAGGGGCTGGGGAGCTGGAGGAGCGGGGACGGGTTGTGGGAGTGGGGCACGGTGCTGATGGGAGCCCTGGCCTACCGGTGGCAACGCCCAGGTGTCCACAGAGGTCCGGGCCATCATCGCCTGGATGGAGAAGAACCCCTTTGTGCTGGGAGCAAACCTGAATGGTGGTGAACGGCTCGTGTCCTACCCCTATGACATGGCCCACACGCCCAGCCAGGAGCAGCTGCTGGCGGCAGCCATGGCGGCTGCCCGTGGGGAGGATGAAGAAGAGGTGTCTGAGGCCCAGGAGACCCCGGACCACGCCATCTTCCGGTGGCTGGCCATCTCGTTCGCCTCTGCCCACCTCACCATGACCGAGCCCTACCGGGGAGGATGCCAGGCTCAGGACTACACCAATGGCGTGGGCATTGTCAATGGAGCCAAGTGGAACCCCCGGTCAGGCAGTGAGTCAGGCTGCGTGGGGAGGGGCTGTGGGGGGCGCATGGCCTGGGGAGGGGGTGACTGTGTGTGTGTGTATCCACCTAGCCATCAACGACTTCAGCTACCTGCACACCAACTGCCTGGAGCTCTCTATCTACCTGGGCTGTGACAAGTTCCCGCACGAGAGCGAACTGCCCCGTGAGTGGGAGAACAACAAGGAGGCACTGCTCACCTTCATGGAGCAGGTGGGTGCCGGGCTGCACACGGGAGGGTGAAGCCGGGACAGAGCTGGGACCGGGCGTCTCCACGTGGCCCCAAGTTTCGTGTCCCTCCTGCAGGTGCACCGTGGCATCAAGGGTGTGGTGACGGATGAGCAAGGCATCCCCATTGCTAATGCTACCATCTCCGTGAGCGGCATCAACCACGGCGTGAAGACAGGTACCTGGCTGCCCTGGGTGACATGACCTCCCCCAGCACCACAGGCCAACCCTTATGTGGCTGTGGCAAAGTGCCCCAGCGGGCCTCTGGCCCCCTACACAGCCAGGGCGGGGACAGGGTCCAGCAGACTCAAAGAAAGTTGGATTTGGGGGAGGCCCATGGGTAGCGTCAGGGCTCACCGAGGGCAGGTGGAGCTAGAGGGCTGTGGTCCTGAGACAGCCACTGGTCTCCCCGTCTCTCCGCAGCAAGTGGCGGGGATTACTGGCGCATCCTGAACCCAGGTGAGTACCGCGTAACGGCCCACGCAGAAGGCTACACCCCCAGCGCCAAGACCTGCAACGTGGACTACGACATCGGGGCCACCCAGTGCAACTTCATCCTGGCCCGCTCCAACTGGAAGCGCATCCGGGAGATCATGGCCATGAATGGGAATCGGCCCATCTTCCGTGTGGACCCCTCACGCCCCATGACCCCCCAACAGCGGCGCCTGCAGCAGCGGCGCCTGCAGCAGCGGCTGCGGCTGCGGCAACAGATGCGGCTGCGGCGCCTCAATGCCACCTCAGCCCCCACCACGACCCCCACCCCAACACCTGTCCCGACCCCTGCCCCCACCTCTACCCTGGTTCTCACCCCGGGCCCCACACAAGGACCCCAGGACCTTCTACCCCATACCACAGAGGGCTGGGAGGAGTTGGAGACCGAGACCTACACAGAGGTGGTGACAGAGCTCATGACGGAATATGGGACTGAGCTGGAGCCCGTGGAGGAAGGGGAGGGAGAGGAAGAGGAGGAAATCACCGGCCTCGAATTCCCCTTCACGACAGTGGAAACCTACACGGTGAACTTTGGGGACTTCTAAGACCAGGGCTGGCACGCCCTGGGCAACTCAAGCTATAGCAGCAGCCCAAAGTCTGCACCCCTGGACATGCAGCCTTCAGCACCAGAGGCGCCGGGTGCCTCCCACGGGGCACAGGCCACAGGGACCTACGGGCCAGAGTCTGCATGGAGGCCCTGCTCTGCCTCGGGGAGGGGCAGGCCAGGGAGGCCAAGGTCACATCAATAAAGCCAGCTCACAACACTGACCGGCTCTTCTGACCAGCTCAGGGAGAGGAGGCTCACGGCCGGGGAGCTCCCTGCTGAGGTCACCTTCCAAGCAGGCTGGGAGCTGAGACACTTAGGCTTTATTTACAAGGCTCACACTTTGGGGGAAGCATCAGGGGCCCAGCCCCAGGCCTTCCAGCTCGTCCTCCTCCGCTCCGAAGCCCACGAAGCTGATGGGCTGGCAGGCCAGGGTGCGCAGGTTCACCAGGCAGGCGGTCTGCGTGGCACTGAAGTCAGGAACGGCCACCAGCAGCACCATCTGGTCCTCGGGGCCTGGGAAGCAGCCACGGGAGATGGACCTTAGGTTCTGGGCAGCCTCATGTCACAGCCAAGCCCCCAGAGGCAAGCAGGAGACAGTGGGGAGGACAACGGGAGGCTCGTGGTTCAGAGCCGTCTTGGCCCCCACAACAACACAAAGGCCACCAGGCAGACCCCAGGCCGTGCATCCCAGGGGGGCCTTGTCCCCAGGTGAGAGCCGATTGCCCCAACCCCTCAGGCCTGGGTCCCTCAAACCAAACTCACCCCGGACGACCTTGGAGCCAAAGCTAGGGGTGTTGCCACAGAAGTAGACATGTGGGCACTCGAGACAGATGAACGGGTCGGTCTTGTAGAAGGGGTAGCAGCCTGGAGAAGGGGCCAAGCTGAGCAGGTCCTGCCACAGGGCCCTGCATGGATGCAGAGCAGCTCCCTCCCCCTCCTGCCACTGCTAGCAGCTGCCCCACAGCCCAAGAGGCAGACCGGTGACCCTGGGGGGCGCGTTCCCAGCCCCAGCTTCCGGCTCGCTCTGTGGTCTTCAGCCCCAGCAGGCTCTGGCTGCAGACGGGGTTGGGACTCCAGCACGGCTTCCTTAACAGCTGTTCCCCAGACCCCTTCCCAGCCCTTGTCTGCCAGCACGACCCAGCCATTACCTAGGGTATCGGGGGCTGTGGGGCTGATGTGACGGACCCGCAGGGTCCATTCTAGGATCTCGAGATGGTCTTCCATGCTGCTGTATCGGAAAATGTCACTTACATTCTGTCCCGATGTCCCCAGGAACCTGCAAGGCAAGATTCTGCTGACCCCTGGCCTGAAGGCCACCACCGCTGCTCACCCACAGCGGCCGGCCTGAGCTCACTGGGACCCCGTGGGGGGCACCCTCTCCCACCTGCACCCCACGCCAGCTACCTGACGCCGTCGATGGTGGCTTGGTAGGGGTTGGTGACCAGCTGCAGGGTGGAGTAGGCAGTGGCCAGAGGGAGCATGCACGGGTGAAGCGGCTGCTGGGGGAGTGTATAGTTGGTTGGGTCGAATTCCCCTGGCATCACATCCACGGGCACCGAGGCCTGGTGGGCACAGGGCAAGGAGGACTCGCAGGGCAGCTCTGCAGCCTGGGGGGTCTCCCCGCCCTGCAGCCCCCGTGCCGCTCACGCTCAGCTGCAGGAGGATCTCATCCAGCATCTTGACGGCCTCCACGCTGGCTGCCTGGGTCTTCTTGGTGAGGTACTTAGCCTGCGAGTCGAAGCGCACAGGCTGTCAGGGTTTCCAGAGCCCGATGGCTCCCCAGCTCTGGGCGATCAGGGCAAAGCCTGCTCGTGGGGGGATGCGCAGTCATCCCCCAGCCCCAGGCACAGGAGCAGGGGCGGCGTGGTGGGCGCTACCTTGTTGATGGAGTCCCTGCTCTGGGTGCTGGGGCTGAGGAGGTTGCCAGCCAGGATGACACGGGAGACGTGGGCAGCACTGCACTGCTCCCCCTCGTCCCCGAGCTGCCCGGTCACCACGTCCACCAGCAGCTGGGTGCCCAGCAGGCTCTCGCCGCCACCTCCGCCCAGGCCCAGCCCGGACACCAGCAGCACAAACCTGCAAAGTATGGCGGCTCCCATGAAGCACGGACAGGAAGGCCCCACCCCCACCCTGACCCCTATGGTGACCCCGGGTCCTACACAGGCTCCTCACCTGTCTGTGTCAAGGGGGGGCGCGGGCTTCTGCGGGGCAAGGTCAGCAAAGCAGTGGTCCTCCACCAGGAACTTCCCGTCATCCTTCACAGAGCCAAACACTGCCAGAACGGTTCCTGGGAGAGGGTGGGTCAGGCCCTGGAGGGCAGCCAGGTGTTCCCACCTCCTCCCAGTCCCCTTGGCCACACCAGTGAAGTCTTGCTTAGCACTCAGACTGAAGCCCACTTCTTGAGGTCACTACCTCTGGGTGAGCCGGGGGAACACATCTTAGCCATCAGTGACACGCTACTGCCCGGCCCCACACACGCACCCCCCCAAACTTGAGTGTGTCAGCCTCACACACAGCCTAGCTCCTACCATCCCCTGCTCCCAACACACCCCCACTGGGCTGCTCCCACCTGTGACCAGCTTGGAGACATCGATGGTGCCTTTCAGCTTGATGCGCTGCAGTTCATCTTCCAGGACCAGCTCGTCATCCGGGTGGATGTATTTGCTCCTCGGCGGCTGGGGAAGCAGGTTGTGCTGGAAGGCAGAGACGGGAGGTGGCCTTGGGCAAGGCCGCCAGGCTCCTATGTCAGGAGATGGTCCCTGTCCCTCCGGACCTGAACCCCATCTCCACAGGCAGAGGCCCACGCCAGCCCCCAGTCTAAGGGATGGCACATCCGTGTCCCCAAGCGACAGGTCTCACCTCCTCGCTGATCTCGCGCAGGATGGAAGGCTGCAGGGGCATGGCCTTGAACAGCGTGCCCACCACACAGCACTTCTCCCCGGGCTGCAGCTCACACAGCTTCTTAACGCCGACGCCACTGCCTGGGCACGAGAGGCACAGACTCAGAGAGCACACGGCCCACGCTGGCGAAACCCACGGGGGCCCCGGCCAGCCCTGCACCACGGGCCGCTTACAAGGCCTCATGGGAGGGAGAACATCAAGTGGGGGGCACCGGCAGGGGGCCAGGCGCTCTGGGCGGGGCCAGGCCCTGGATGTCAAGTGCCCTCCTAGGGACAGGAATGCAGAGGTGAGGCCATGCGAAGACGGGCAGAGTGCGCTGTGGCTACAACCAGGATGTGGAGCCACCTGCAGCAGAAGAGGCAGGAAGAATCCTCCCCCGGAGCCTTAGGGAACCGGCCTTGCCACTGATTTCAGAATTCTGGCCCAGAACTGTGAGGGAACGTGGTGAAGGAACGTGTTGCCTGTAATCCGAGTCGCCCAGTTTGCAGGTCTTTATCGTTGCAGCCGGAGGAACCAGACATAGGGCACTACTTCACTTCCGGCTAAATGACAGCAGCTATCTGTGGAAGGGGTGTCCCACAGCCCTCCCTACCAAAACCACACCTTCCTTAAGGGTCTCAATTCTTCCGCTCCACCCTTGTTCCCACCAAACGCTTCATCCTCTGAAAAGAGACGGCCACCTTGGCTCTCTGTGGTGGTTTGGACGCAGTTTGTACCCCCAGGGCTCAATGTGGTGACATGAGAGACGGGGGACCTTGAGGGAGGTCCTGCGCTTCCTGGGGGAGCTGCCTTGGAGGGAGTTACCGCAGCTCTGCCGTGACAGTGAGCCCAGCCCCTGGACTGCCCTCAGGCTTCCTGTTTGGTGACATGATCTCTCCCTCTTGCACACATTCCTGTCATCTGCCATGAAGTCCCCATGTGAAGGTGAAGCCAGTGCCATGCCCGCCCTTGAATTTACAGAACTGAGCTCCATGAGCCTCTTTTCTCCCAGCCTGAAGTACCCAGGCTTGAGCACTTTGCTACTGTAACACAAAACAGACTAATACATGTTCTTTACCAGTAAATTCCATAAACACAGTTTAACCAAATGTGACAACACACCACGATTAGATACTACCACCCTGCCGAGGCAAGACAGGCGAAGGAATCCAAATGCATGGCCCCTGAGCACTGGGCGGAGCATGGGCATGGTGACACCAGATGTTCACCCTTGTTCCCTGGGGAGCTCTGCCAACAGCTGTGGTGACTGAAGGAGAATCTAGCTTCCACAAGTCTTTTTTTTTTTTTTTTTTTTTGTGCCGAGAATCGAACTCGGGACCTTGTGCTTGCCAGGCAGGCACTTGTGCCACTGAGCTACATCCCCGGCCTCCATGAAGTCTTTAAAAGGTGGGACTGGCTGGATATTGTGGTGCATGCCTGTAATTCCAGCATTCTGAAGGCTGAAGTAGGCCTGGGATACACAGTGACTTCAAGGCCAGCCTGACCTACAGTGAGACCTTGTCTCAAAGACCATAAAACGAAAGGGAGGGGACTGATATTGGGCCCAAGCAGCAGTTAAATCCACAGAAGGCACCCACAAAGGCTTAAAGGAAAGTGAGAAAAAGGTTCTTGGGAGGTGGGGGAGGAAGCCTCTTCCTATTCCATAGGGGAGAGGTAAACAGCACTTCTGAGGTAAAGAAAATGGAAGATACCCTGAATGATTTGGCTGGCTGGTAAAGAAAATGGAAAATACCCTGAATGATTTGGTTGGTCTGGCTAGGACACTACTGGGTCCGCTGTTCTGCTGCCCAGACATAGCTGACATAGTGGCTTGAGGCGGGTGGCCTGAGGACCAGCACTTCCCCAAGTCCCAGAGGTTTCCATCTGCAACCAGGCCTGGTGCTGGCGACAATGAGTGAGGTGGGGTCTCACCTACAAAAGCCTCAGTTTAAAAACATAACAAAACGAATTTGAAAACTACAGGGAAAGCCACTTTTATGTATATCATAAGGATGAGATAATTCAGCATCACCCAAAAGTTAAAGGTATGTGAAGGGGGTTCTGCTTTACACCCAGAGCAATCTAGTTGCAGGAGCAATAAAAGGAAGAAATGGGGGTAAGAGTTCACTTCCTTAGGAAAGAGAGAGAGTAAGTGAGCCCCAGTGCATGAGTGTGAGCGCTAGAGAGTCACCAAACACAGGTCAGGAGGAAAAGCAGACAGTGGTAACGGCCCTCAAGACTGCAACCTTGGCTTCCGGTGCTAAGCCTGCCATGCTGGAGGCTCTCTAGGGACAATGTGGGCAAACAGCTGCATGATTTGTGCCAACGACAGGAAAAACGT